ATGAACTGCGCCTTGGTGATGTCTCTTTTTGTTGTTGAACGGTTGTCCTAGGGTCATTCGTCTTCTTTTTGATTTATTTATTGAATCTCCGAGTCTGCTCAGCCAGTATGCGAAATTACCACTGACTCTTCACTCTTTCAATCCTTATGCAGCCAGATTTCGGATAGCAAAACAGTGATTTTGATGTTTGGCAGCGGCCAATTGACAAGCTGGTAGGATAAAAGGAAGGGCAGAATTTAGGCCAGAAGCCCTGTAAATGGCATTTGGTACCGGTGGTGGAGATGATTACGCTTCACTAAACCAACTTGTATCAACATACTCTTAGGCAACAATGGAGGAAATGGGAGAACACAATTGTGTTAATGGATAGATAGGGCATATGAAATGGGGGTGAGAGAGAGATGCAGCACCAGAAGGCAGGACAAAGAATAGGAGCGAGGAGTGATGCCACAACGGTTTCCTTCAAATGTCGCTTTGCTAAGTTGTAACTTTATCCTTACGATGGCGCCTATCACTGACGATGCCGGCGAAACGTTTGGAAATGTACCTAACCAACAGTCCAATGCTGGAAATCACGGATATTATGGCAGAGCACACGGAACTAGATACGTTCCACAAGGTCGAACCAACACTGCTAAATTATATCTTTAAACAATGATGAGATAGAGAATTAATAAAATGATGACGAGTTAATGGGGCTGAAATCTGTTTATATATGAGGAGTTAAGAAAATGTAATAAACTTCAAATAAAGTCTATTTCTAATGTTTTTTTAACAAGTTAATTCTAATAACTCGATCATCGAATCCCGTTTTTACATAACAATATTGTTAAGGAAGTTTTGAAATAAAAGTCTTACACAAATGAGTAGCTTCAGGCAAGGAATATAAAGGGCATATGACCACTAATCTAGTATATAGTAATTAAGGCTAGTTTATAGACTCGTCTAGTCTACATAGATAAGTATTAAAAAAAGACAAGTAGCTCATGGGCATTTAGAAAATGTGTGATTCCCTGCAATGACATAGGGTCATAGAAAAATTTTTTTAAGCATAAATCACATGCCTAATTGAGTTTATAGCAAGCTTCTTATATTGGACAAATGAGCTATTATAGGTTACGAGTATGGCTTGAAGTGTGAATAGTTTGGATTATTAACCAAGAATGATCATTCAAAAAGTGATAAAAATAAACAGAGGTAATTGGCATATAAGGAAAGGTGGAAGAAGCACATGGATGAGAAAAAACTTACGATAGAGGAGTCTCCCTCAAAACAGGGGACCAGAGATGCACATAACCAAACACTGAAATTTGAAGATAGCAGCTGTCAAGAAGCATTTATTTAAAATACAAAAGATCTTTATTAAGTTGCAGGCTAGATTTCGTCGAATGTGGAGAGCTGTTCTATGGCGTTTAATGAATAAAGCAATCATTAATATAAAGTACTGTCGGGAGGTACGTAGTAATGAAAGACATTAAAAAGAATAATTTCTAGATCTAAAAAATGTATAAACAGATTGTGCAATGATAAAAATGTAAAAGTAGCCGGTATTTGAAAGTGAGACTTAAACATAGACTAAAATGATAAAAATATTTTGTCACCTGAGGGACATTTGAATTTGGTGCATTGCTGGTACCAGAGTTCTCCGAATTTACGTCGATGTTCATAACCAGGCAGTAAA